ACTAAAAAAATCCTTTTTTCTCCCCTTATAGTTCAAGAAAAAAACGGTTTTGGAAAAATCGCCAAAATCTAAATAAAATAATAAAATTAAAAATTCGAAGAAATTGGTTTAGTTGCTAATCTTGAATTTTAAGAAAATTCATATTTTTTTTAATGTTCTTTTAAATTTTTTTAAATTTAAATTGTTTCCTAAAATTTATTTATTGATTTTTTAGGGAAAAAAGGCATTCTTTTTAATGATTTATAAAAAATTTTTGCAAATAGAATGTTTCCATTATTATTTTATTTAGAAAAAACTTCCTTTTTGGAATAAAATATAATAAATAAATTCACAACAATAGCTTTTTTACCTAAAAAATAATTCTTGCAAGGCGAAATATATAAAAATAAAAAAAAATTCCCTTTTTTTCAACCTTTAGAGTTTAAAAACCTCGAAAAGAATTCGAAATATTTTTCAGTTGAAAAATTCGACATTTTTTCCGCGAAAATTAAATTAAGTTTATTTAAAAATAAGTACTTTTAATTTAATATTGTGGAAATCTTCCAATTAAAACTAATCGAAAATTAAAAAAAAATCGAAGAATAATTATTCTTTTTATAATATTAATTAAAAGAACTATTAAATATAAACTTCGATATAGACGATAATTTAGAATTTTTAAATAACAAAAATTACTAATAGACATCTTTAGAATGCTTAAACTATGAAAACTTGCCATAATAGTCTTTTCTTGAAAATGAAGATAATAAAAACTTTACAAATAGCTATGTTTCTCAATAATTATTTGGAAGTAAATAAAAGAGTTTTTCTTAACAAAACTCTAACTAAATACTAAATGTTAAATATTCTCAAAATGAAATCGAAAAATACAATTAAAAAAGAATCTCTAAAGTAAAAAAGGATACTTTTTTAATTAATAAAGAATAAATTCTCTTAAAAAATAAGTATTTTTCCTCAAATGATCTTACAAGTAATTCTTTTTTTAATCAAAAATATCATATTAACGAAAATAATGAGAGTAGTGTTATTTCATTTTAAAAAGACTTCTAAAAAACCTAATAATAAGAAAAAGAAGATAAAAAGCCAATAAAACATTCAATTACAGATAAAAGTCTTCTCGAGAAAATTAAATCCAAAAAAAAATCCCTTCCAGTATTATTAGCCCATTATTTTGGTATAATATCTCTATTAATACTAATAGGTTTATAATTAATATAGTATACATTTGCTTTATAATAATTTTAAATTGTCCAAAATGATATTATATTCATTTAATGGCCTCTTAGGATGCTTTAAAGTATAAATATAATAAGCAAGAACTTTTTTTTTATCAAAATACTATCTACATTTTCCGACAAATCGTATATGTAAGAAATCCGGTCTGAATTTTAATAATATGTCAACTATTTTTATGAAGACATACATTTATTTTAAGGAATGGAATTATAAGCAACAAATTATTTCAAAAATGTTTTATAAAATAAAGTTTAAATTTAAATTAACAAAATTCTAATATTTTACGACGACGTAAGAATTAATATATTAAATAAACCTAAATTTAAAAATATTATAGAATTTTCTTAATTCTATTCCAATTTAATGATTGCTCCTTATCTTTAATTTTTATTTGACGATAATGAATATAATATTCATCCTTTACTTTTTATTTAGGATAATTATCCTATGATTTAAAAAAACTTAAATGATATGTAATAATAAGTTTCTAACGAAGTTTAAATTAAAGTTTTAGAAATTAAATAATTTGCCTTTATTTTATTAGTAGTTACTATTATAATGTCTTTTTTTCTTATTTTTATGATTTTTCCTTTATATTTTTAAGTTCAAAATTACATATAGTCTTTTTTGTAGTTATTTGCTACTATTTCTAGCGAAAATTTACGAAGAATGATTGACCCTTTATAAAATATTCTTGAAAACATGAAACTTTTGAAAAGAAATGTGGATGTTTTAAAGAAAAAAAAAGAAATTCGGAAACTAATATACTGCCGAAATTTAATTTTTATTTACTTTTATTAGCTGTTTCAATGTATTCTCTAGTTATTGTTTAGCCAATAATTAATTTTTTTTTAATGTAAAACTTAAATAGAGAATTAAAATTGATTACAAGTATTTTAGGTAAAATAATAATATATATTTAGTTTATATATATATAAATATATATTTATAATTTTTTTTTATAACAAAAAAGAAACTACTTCCTTATGTTAATGCTTTATTTCAGAAATAAATCATTATCATTTTAATAATTTATTTTAGCTTTTATATATAAGTCCTATATATTCTATTTAGTATTACAATTAATTCGAAAATACAAAAAAGTCTCATTAAATTTAAACTTAAATAATACTTTAAATATACTAAACATTAAATAGTCGAATGAATTAAGATCCTTATATATAACCTTAAAATTTTTAATTTTTTTATGAAATGTTAGAAGGAAATGTATGTGAAAGTATTTAAAGAGATTAATAGTTTTTTATTAAAAGAAATTAAATATAATATGAAGAATGTATTAACATTTAAAATGGTATTTTTAAAAAGGGACTTTTTGTTTCAGTTAATAAGTTTTTTTAAATACTTTAAGAATGGCATTAGATGGAAATAGGACAAGATTTTAAGAATAATTTTAGTTTATGGTTAAAAAATAATTCTTTAATAGAATTTAACCGGTTTTTTATTATTTTATAAAAATCTTTTGGTATTCTTTCAAATTTTATTTAAGACTAGCTTAATCAATAAATTTATTTAATGAAAGTTATTTAAATCTTTTTGCTTATATATTAAATTTCTATTTGCATTCTTTTTTACTATTTCGGATGGATTAGATTTTATAAATTTATTTAAAAAGAAATTTTCGACGTGAAGAATATTCTGAGTATTTTTTAAAAAGATTATATTTTATAAAACAATTATATTAAATCTTATCTTAAATATAAACTGTGAGTTTTTTATTTAAATTATTACATTTGGAATAATAATATTAATAAATATAAATCATTAATAATATATATATATATATATATATATTTAATTTAAATTGTATAAATATATAATATTCATTTATAAACAGACTCAATTAAGAAAAAAATATTTATATATATAAATATTTTTTTTTAAAATAAAAAAATTTACTATTTATATGAAATAATTTTAATAATTAATTTTTTTTTTTTTTTTTTTCAAATAAAATGCATTTTAGTATTTTAACTTTAAAAAGATTAAAATATATATATATAAAGTAATTTATTTATTTATTATATATTCCTTTTTTATAAAATATAAATTTATTAATAAAATAAAAGATAATTTTGTAATTAAATGCAATATTAATAGTAATATATACCTCATTTATATATAAATGATAATATTACTGTAATAGTAAATCAAATAATTGATAATCGAAGATTTGTAAAGTAAAATATTTTAAAAAAAATACCAAAATCATATAAAAAAAATTAAAAATTGGTAGTAATCTAAATCAAAATATCAATAAATTTCATAATATAATAGTAACTGCGAATTTATACATAAACGAAAGAATAATCTAACCGTTTTAGTAAATATTATTCTCATAAAATGACCAAGAAATAACATTTAATTATAAATATTCTAATTTAACATATAATTCATAAATAATATTTACTTTATGGCAAACTTTAGATCAGAGAAGTCAAATAGGATCAGCTAAATTATCTCTATTCGAATAAAAATTTAGCGATTATTATTTATATTAAGGTAAAATGGGTTTATTAGTTTGTTTAGATGAATTTTTGAACATAGATTCTAACAAATAATAAAGATATAGTGACACATTTATAAATATAACTCTATAAAATTTCAGTTTACCAGTTTAATATATAAAAAATGAAGTTTGTGTAGACTATAAAAAGCCTTTAATAGCATTAAATAATAATATATTATAAGAATTCAGCAAAAATTATGATTTTGATTTTTTTAATAATCATCAAATATTAAATTTCGAAAATAAATTTGAAGATTTTTAATAATTTGAACGACTTCAAAATATTTTTAAAAAGCCAATTTTATGCTAAAACGACCTTGATTTATAAGAAAAGCAATTAATATATTAAAATAGGTATATTTTTACTATAATTTATAATATAATTTTAAATGTAAAAAAAAAAAAAAGAAAATAATTTATTGATAATCCTTAAGCACTTATATATTTTATATGTAGTATAAATGATTAACAAAACGAATAAGAAAAGGCATTCCGATATATAAGAAAATGGGCCTAAATAGACTTTTTGAATATTTTATTTTTACTTTCAAATACTTTCTGTGTCAATACAATATATGGAAATTAACAATTCTTAAGTTTAAAAAGTAAAATTCGTGAATTTGCAGTTTAATAATTATAAAGACTATCCGAAAAATAAATTGATTTGATTTTATTATAATTAGTCTAATGTTTAAAATACGAAGAAACTTGCCTTTAGAAAAGTCATTTAACAATTTTTTTAATAGACTATTCTATAATAAATTCTTTAATAGAAAATTTCGATCCTTCCATATAATTATATTGGCTTTTAAATGTAGAAACATATGCATAAAACTAAGAAATAAAAAACTGGTATTAACAAGTTTAAAATTATCTATTATAATAAATCCAAGAAAAACAGCCTCAACTAAAATAAACAATATAATCCCAAATAATCTTCCACTAACTTCTTGATAGTATTTCCCTTCAAGGAACTCTATAAGAAAAAAACACATAACTATAATAAATATTATAACAAAAATAAATCTAAAAGCACTTATCATCCATAAACCCTCTAATAAAAATCGAAAGAATAAACCATGAAAAATGTAAAGTTTTCAATAGTAATGCCCAACCACTTTTTCTGAACTTCCAAACCGAAAATAGCTCTCAAAACTACAATATAATATATAAAAGAGGCGATGATTTAAGATAAGATCAACTAATAATTTCCATAATAACCGTAATAGACAATATAATGAAAGAAGAAGTCAATTTCGACTACTAACTAACCCCATATAAAATACAAGGTTTAACTAAGAATAGCGGATTTGTCGAATTCGTTGAAGATTCGAAAACAATTAGAGAGATACTAGAAAAGGAAAAATCCATTGAAAACTATTTTAAGAAAAAATGCCAAAATAATATAGAAAAAGAAAATTAAATAATTAGAAAATATATGTGTTCTTGTGCAGGATATTGTGTAATTACTTATCTTTTGGGAATTGGAGATAGACATTTAGACAATTTAATGGTTAGTTCAGAAGGTAAAATGTTCCATATTGACTTCGGTTATATTTTAGGAAATGATTGTAAACTTTTTCCCTCTGAAATTAAAATAACTGAAGATATGATTAAACCTTTTAGGTCAAAAAATTAAAGAGGAGAAAATAATTATATTCTCTTTGTTTAAAAATGTGTTAATTTATATAATTATCTAAGAAATAATTCCTAATAATTTATTAATTTGTTACTTGTTTTTTAAGATTCGGATCTTTCCTTTGCTTAATAAGAATTTCAAAAAAGAATAAAAGAACTTTTATAGAAATTTAAGCTTGATCTCACAGAATAGGAAGCTGCCAAACATTTTTTTGGGGTTATTAATGAAAGTTTAAATGCAATATGGCCTGCAGTTAACGATTATTTTCATAATTTAGCTATAAAATGGAAAAGTTGAATAAATACATTATTTTTTTTAATATTAATAAAATTTTAAGTATAATAAAATTATAATATATAATTAATTTTACATAAAAATATATTAAAATACTTTAATATATATTATATTTATATTTATATATATATATATATATATATATATATATATATACGAAATAATTTATTTATATTTCAATTTTTAAATACAAACCATTTATTAATGAAAATAATTTAATTTTTTTTTAACTAATATTATAATCAATAATAAATTAGTATCTTTATTTTAAATAATTAATTCATTTATATATGTATCTTAATAGACAAATATTTCATATATATATATATATATATATATATATTTAATATTTCTTTTATTATAAACTATTTTTGGAAGTATATAATAAATAATTCTGTTTGCATAGTATATTATATTTTTATTTTTTATTACACACTTTTTTTATATTATTTAATAGTTTTAATTTTTTATAGAATATAAATAACTTCTAATACTAATGTTCAAAAATAAAAAAAGAGCTTTCTTTTATATTAATAATACATACTTATATTGTTTTTACAATATATATTTTATTTTAAAATTATATTAATTATTTATTTATATTTTGCATATACACTTAAATATCATAAAAATAAAATTAATTTATTCTAAAATATCTGAACTTCATTTTCTTTACAAATGAATGTTTATATAATTATTTCTTTTTCAATATAAATTTTTATATTAGTAATATTTATTTTTATTACATTAAATTATTATCATATATAAAAATTATATGAATTAATTATTTTTTTATCTATATGTATAAATTAATATTATTCGAAATTTTTTATTTATTTATTTCAATATTTTTATATAATTAGAATTATAATTAATAACACTATTAATTTTATATATATTACAATCGATTCTCCATACTTATATACTAAATTATTTAAATATTGTTTTGTATTTTATTTATATATAAATAAGTAATAAAATATAGAAAGTTATTATACATTTATAAAAATAAGTTATATTATACTAGTTATTTATCAAAGTTTTATTGATATATATTTTTATTTTAATTATAAAATTATTATTATTGTTTCTAAAGTATTCATATAATACTTGCATTTATCATGTTTTTAAGTAAATTAATTAAAAAATATTAAATCATTTTTTCTTTCTTTTAATATTTTTTATTTCCTATTGTTCATTTTATGTTAGTTTATGCATATTTTTATATCCTATACAATAAGGTCTATTTTACATGATCCAAATATATACTAATCTATAAAATAATATATAAATAATAAATTATTATGATATTATTTACTATTGATTTACGCTTCTTTAAATTTTATATTCTTATTTCGAAACTTTTAGTGTAGTATATCATTTTAATCAAAATAATGATAAATATTATATATCCATTGTGGATCAGGAAACATTGTAATAGATAATCCTGCCTGCTTCATATTTTTGTTTATATAAGAATAATTTCAAGCCGATCTAGAATTTTGCATAAAATAAAATAAAATTCAATTAAAGTTGTTTTTAGTGAGCATATATATTACTTTGTTTAAAAAATATATAATATTCAAAAATTAAATATATTAACCTTTCTTTTATTATAAAAGATAAATCATAATTTGGCAAATATAAATATTATGAAAATCGATTGTACTATTACTTTTTTTTTTTCTTTCTTAAACATTAAAATAGCGTAATTATTTCAAAAACAATAGGTTATTCTAATATATTAATACAAATTATTGTTAATTTGTAAATAAATATCTGTATTAATATTCACAATATCTTTTTAATTAAAAATACTTTATTTGTTTAAGAATTGAGATATATTTCAAAAGAAATTTATAAAATTAATAATTTTTTATATATATTAATTATAATAATTATTTTTTATTAATATTTTTAAAAAATAAAAAATATCTAATTTTATTTAAACTAAATATTATGAATTTAATATAAAATTATTTAATTAAATAAAAATAATAACTTTTTAAATATTAAAAAATAAAATAATAATAAATTGTAAAAAAAATATTTAAAAATATTAATATGTCTTAAATAATACAAAAATTTTACTTTAAGTTATTTAACTTTAAATGATTAACATTTAAAAATATAATTATTATATATTGAAATAAAAATAACTAATTTTATATCAGTTAAAAATAATAAGATATATTAAATTAATTAAAAATAAATATAATAATAAATGATTTTAAAAATTATTATTAAAATAAAAGAATAAATAAATAAATAATTAAATTTAATAATAAAAATTATTAAAAATATAATATAAAAAAAAATGTTTATATATAATTTAAAAAAT